TTTTTCATCAAGCACTTTCTATACCAGAGATGCTCAATGTCAGCAACTTTAAGACATGTGAACTTCAACTGCTGCCTCAAGGTTCACAGTCTCAAACTGATCCCAGATAAAGATGAAGCCTCTATCATCTCTGCTGGATTTGCCCAGCAGCATCCATCTTTGAGGGAATGTGATTGATTACATCCTCCAAATATTTAGAGAATTCATTGCAATGGCCCAGCTGACAAACCTCTGGCTCAGTTTCTCTAACATCGGTATTCAGATATGTTGTGATAGGATAGGTAACTTGGGATAAAGCTATGCAGCAGGGTAGCCAGCAGCAATATCCCTAACTTGTTCCTCAAGCCCTAACTGCACAAAGAGTGTCTCATATCCATTTATGTATCTCCCACAGAGTGACTCCATAAACAATTGTCACTCCAACTTCCATACCCCTTGGTATTTTGACTGCTGCAACGTCTTTTATTTATCTTTCTTCAATCTGTATTATTTTTACAAACAATTCCAAGACAATCAACATACCTAATACTTTTTCCCTTTTCTGTTTTCTCCACACAGCAACCCTGTGAGATGGGTTGGGCTGAGAAAGAATGACTGGCCCAAAGTCACCCAGCTGGCCTTCAAGCTTAAGGCGTAACTAGAACTCACTAGTCTCCTGGTTTTTAGCCTGGTGCCTTAGCCACTAGACCAAACCGGCTCCAATATCCAAGATCAAATCATAGATAATAATATTATAGGCAGATCTGCCACTTAATAGCACAAACCAGATCCCAAGGTACCCATAGCTCCCCTACCGGGCTTCTGAGATGAGGTGGGAGAGGGGAAGAGATTGGTCAAAGGTTCTCTGGTCTTCACTCTTATTCCTGCTGTATTTCTAATGTCTTGTTATTAAGTAAGTTTTAAGTAAGAAGTAAGTAACTTCTTGAGCTGTTCCATCAGTCATGGGACAATGGGCATGCCAGTTCCTCCAAGGTATACTCTCACCCACTGTACAGCCACCATTCAAACAATGTGGCTGTTCACTTTTGAATAGGTCACTAAAAGTTCAGTCTCAAATGAGCTGTGTGTACCAATCTTCACATTACTCCATTTACTGAAAGAAGAAGAGAATCTTCATGTTAGCCAGCATGTACTAGCCTCTAAGTAGAAACCCTTAGGCTCCACCCATGGTGGCAGAGGGCAGTTTAGAATGTTTGAATTTTTTTAAAAAGTAGAATGGCTGTTGTAGTTAATATTATTAATGTTCCATTCTTGACCTACTTTCAGAACTGCTTGCCTATGAATAAATACAAAAAGTCCCTGTCCTCAGGCCTACAGTCTATCAAAAAATATGTAGAACAAAAAGGTGATGAGAAGAGAACAGAGTACCCCTACTCAAATAATCAGAGCAACATCGAGGGAAGATGTCCATTCCTGCTTCTTTGCCTCTTTCTCATGAAGCAATTATTTCTGATTATGCTTTACGTACTAACACTGAGCTGGAAGACAGAACCAACAACCACAGTGTTATTGTTTTATTAAAACCCACCTTTTTCATGTTGGGATACCTTCCTCCCCTTTCCCCCACTCCCCATTTATTCTTGAAAGTTCTTTCTTGATTGATTAAATTCAGCTTTAATTGAATGTCAATTCTAAATTATGGAATAGTGATTGGATAATATGATAATAAGAATCAGTTATTTAGTCTTGTACTAAGATGGGGAAATCTCTTTTTCAAATCTAGCATCAGCCAATTCCTAGATTGATTTTGACAAGTCAGCATCTCTTAGCCTAATTTACCTCACAGTGGGGTGTTGTTGTTTTTTTGTGGAGAAAGAATAGGAGAAGGAGTGCTGTGTATAAGCTACCTAGAACATGCAAGAGGAAAGGCAGGATATAAATTAAGCAACCGATCAAGCAAATTAACTATAAAGGTTTACAAAATCCAGATTGAAAATCCTCATTCATCCATGAAACACAGCGTGTGATTCCATCCCATTCACCTCTCTTCCAAGATTGTTATAGGGATAAAATTGGAAAATACAAGTTAAATTGTGTATAACTCCTTGAGTTTATTAAACTTTATTGAGTTTATTAAAAGTTATATGAAATGAAAATATATAAAGATAATGATTACAGTAAAAACATAAGAAAAACATGGTAAAAGCATATTTTTCTCACCTATGAAAATATAGTCTAACCCTAACCCTATGGGGATCCTTTCTGTTTCCCAGTCCTGTTTAGTGAAAAACAATACATCCGCAAATAGCAAGAAAGGTTCATCCAAAAGAAAGGTTCAAAGGTGTTGTTAGTGTTGCGAATGGAAAAGAAAAATGCTCACAGCCTCCAGGGATGGGAAGCAGCATTATTATTTGAACCAGGGAAGCAAACAATTTTTTTGCTCTTAAGGTTAAGTAGATCTTACACACAGAAGGTGCTGGAATCATAATTTAGAGATGTGACAGGTAAGAAATGTCATGCTTAATTGCTTCTCAATCCTGGGGGCGACCGGGGGGGGGGAGAGTAACTCTACATTTAGAAAATCTTGTTTGAGAAGAGTCTGTCCTGTACTGTGAAGTAAAATGTAAACTGTTAACATGTTTCTCAAAATTCATGTCAAATTTTACTATGAATTCAAATCATAAAGTCACAATATTTTCTTCAAGGGAGCTAAATCTATTTTACTTATCATTTGATCACCCTTTCGTGGTAGTGTGAAGAAAGCAGAGGAAAAGTAGGATATATAATATACTGTTGAAAACTAGATACGATTCTATTTGTTCCTCTGCTTTACAAAGGGAAAAGGAGAAGGAAGATGATGTAATCTTTGTATGTTATGATGAAATAATTCCAACCCATACTGTATCTCTTATCTAGAGAAAAGTTAGTCTTATTTCTGGATCAGGAAACCCTGTTCATGTTTATTCATCTGGGATTGCCCCTGAAGACCAGCCAGAAGCTATATTGGTTCAGAATGCAACAACGTGGATAGTAATAAGTGCGCCTTAATATTTCCATTCATACCACTACTCTGTGAGCTGCATTGGTCCCCAATAGGACTCTGTATTCAATTCACGGACTTGGTTATCACCAATATGACATATACCAGATTACAGTATTTGTATAACTGCCTATTTCCTGTTATTCTGCTCATCCTATAAGGGAAGGCTCTAATGGGTTCTAGGAGATATGTGAAGTTCTCTGTTGCTGTGCTTGTCATTTGGAATGAGTACTCCTGCAAGAATCAGATGCCATTTTATAGAACAGTGAAAATCTAGATTTTCTTTTGTGTATTTGCCAGCTCAATACATCAAGCTCATGGATCAAGATGGTAGATAAAATTATGCTACTATGAGAATAGTTGTAGCATTCAGCCTCTGCTATGTGTTGATAGTGTTTTGTTACATTGGTTTTGAATTATATTTATTTTTTATTTGTTTTTAATTAGTGTACTCTGTCCAAAATCACAGATTAGGAGTGGGTCAGCCTTATAAATCATTTGAATAAAATATTCAAAAAATAAAATGACAACACTGTTTGGGGGAAATTATGTTATATTTTGCTTGAAAACATCACCTGATTCTGTGATGATAGATGGATGGATGGGTGGGTGGGTGGGTGGCAGAGGTGGGTTGCCCCCAGTTTGGACCGGTTCACAAGAACTGGTAGTAAAACTGGCGGGAGGCCCCACCCACTGCCCTGGATGTCATCATCAGTGATCTGCGCATGCGCAGAAGCTTCCTGTTGCAAACGTGTGTTCCCATTGTGAACTGGTAGTAAAGGTAAGTAGAAGCCACCCCTGATGGGTGGGTGGATGGATGGATGGATAAATAGATAGATGATAGATAGATAGATAGATAGATAGATAGATAGATAGATAGATAGTGTTAAAGAAAACTAGAACCAAAGAAGAAGGAACATATCTAACTTCTAAAATTTGTTATTTCATGTTAAACAGCAGCAAATGCATACTATATTGAAGAATTGGGAATTCGACTGCTCTTGAAGCTCTGTCCTTGGTGCTGGAAGAGAATTGATGATCTTAATTATATTTGTGAATGCTAAACTATAAAAAGATATAGGGTTTATACATTGTTTTAATGGGTTAAAAATGATTTCAATCTCATATGCCAATGAATAACATGTATCCTCATTCAGTATTTGGATGCTAAACACAGGAGCATTCAAGGATACTTCCCACATTCTTCCCACCCATCACTGATAGAAAGCAAGAATCTTGCAGGGTTATGACTCACATAAAAGCCAGCTTTATTATTGATAGGGCACAGCACTGCAATGCTTATATAGCAAGTATTCCAGGTTTTGAATGCCTGAACCTGCCCTTTGTATGCTTCTATATTATCAAATTCATATATGAAAATAGACATTATTGGGGGCGAAATCAGGAAGGCATTGAACTGTTAGAAGAACATACATCATCACCATTACTTTCCTCTTCTCTTACCACTGTTACGGCTGTTTGAACCATTCAGAGGGCAGTTCCCAAAACAATTGCAGCTCTCCTCCCACCAACATCTCAATCGTTCAGTAGGTCCCTATGAGGGCCTTTCTCGCATCACTTTTCCTGGAATTGCTCTTTTCTGGAATTTTTCTGAACTGAGGTGGCCTTATAATCAACAGCGCCAAGCCTTCTGAGGACACAGGGCCTTGACTCTTCAAAAGCAGGTTCATGGGGGCTTCGGTTACTTCACAAATGATCTCTCCAATTGGATTCACAGCAGTGGTGAAATTCAGCTGGCTCTATCCAGATCACGCAATCTGGTAGCGCCGGTGGCAGGAGGCTCCATCCACCCGCCCAGACATCATCACATCCCATTTTTTACCCTCTGCACATGCGCGGAGGAGGCGCGTGCACTCACATTTACGAACCAGTAGTTAAGGTAAGTAAATACCACCCCTGATTCACACCTTTGGGAATTATCCAATGAAGAAAAGGGGGTCTGGTTGCCAGAATGAATGGTGATTCCTTTATAAAAATGAAAACTGGTTTCTAAAAGAAAGATGGATTACCATTTTAATGCTTTATTCTCTTGTGGATTATCCTTTGGAGTCCATAGACCAAGGCTAGGGCAGGATCCTAACCAAAATCCAAAAGGGATAGAGGTGGGTCAATGATGGATAGATGAGCCTGTTTTCCCTCATTTACATCCTTTCTCCTGTGTTTTTTTCTTTTCTCTGATGTTCAGTGTTCTCACTTCATTTCTCCTGTCTCTTCCCTCACAATTAGGTTTTGTGGAAGGAACATTCCCAAATCTGCAAACAATAACAAAATCACAGTATAACACTTGGGGGTAGGAAGAAAGATAACTTTTAATGAGTGATGTAGGAAGAGTCAACCCCATTCTTTCTTACTATATTTTAAGGTTCAAATCATTTATTCAGAGCTGGTTTATCAATAGCAAACAGGCCTAGAAGAATTGACCCAGTCTCTATATACAGTAATTATATAAGGCTAACCATCATCATCATCTTATGATGTTTTCAAAAAACAACTTTAAATAAAACTATTGCATTAAAACCAAGCATCCTTAAAATAAATAATGGATGAAAAGAAGCTTCATTAAAAACCACCAAAGCAATCAATCAGATATTCTAAAATTGCAAAGCTTTTGACTTTGGTCGAAAGTTGGCAGCCACTGTTGGGAGATGGCAGTCATATAAATTATTTAAATAAATGAGGCAGAGTCTGCAAGTATACATTCTTTTTCAAGGCCTAAAAATAAATAACCATTTAGTCAAATAACTGACCAATTAGTCAGTTATATGTCAAATTTCTAGTCCACCCAAATCCAAAATGACTCCGGGCAGTTTCACAAGATTAACAAAATCAAGAAAAAGGCAGCATTATGTAAGAAAACGACACACTCACTTCAAGGGATTATTGAAAAATCATTCTCCTATATCAGCGATGGTTCACCTTTTTGGCACCAAGTGGCAAAACTGCTGTGCGCGCGTGCGCCGGAGCACCAGAACCCGGAAGAGAACATCTGGCCGGTGCACATGTCTGCAACGGCCTGCTGCTCTTCCGGGTTCCATCACACACATGTGGCTGACCAGCTGGCCTGGTGCACATGTGCACTGGCCAGCTGTTCTCTTCCAGGTCCTGGCGCACATGTGCAGCAGCCAGCTGGTGTTTGCACGAAGACCACCTGGCCGGAACGCATGCCCGGGCCAGAACCTGGAAGAGCAGCTGGCCATTGCACATGCACACCAGACTAGCTGGCCGGCCGCATGTGCACGACAGAACCCGGTGCACACATGTGCCAGATGTGTGTGATGGAATCCAGTGCATGCATGTGCACCAGCCAACTGGTCTTTGCGCGAAGACCAGCTGGGCGGCACGCATGCACAGGCCGGAACCCGGAAGAGAGCAGCTAGCCAGTGTGCATGCATGCTGGATCAGCTGGCCGGCTTGCATGCACACGCAGAAACCCAGAAGAGCAGCTGGTGATGGCACGCATGCCCACAGAGAGGGCGCTGTGTGCCACCTCTGGCACATGTGCCATAGGTTCACCATCATGGTCCTATATCATTCACAAGCTAAAGGAGGCTGACCAAACTTTAAACCCCTGAGGAAAAACCTAGGTTTTGAGACTAACTTGAAGGCAAAATGGAATCCTTACAAATCTCCAGGGAAATCTTGAAAGGTAATTTTACAGTGAGATATGAGCTAAATGGCTAACGTGAGCTTAAATATCTTAAATGTTTTCACAGAATCATGTCCAGGTAATATAACGTTGTATATGAATTCAATTTGAAGTCTTCCCCGGTACTTTAATCGCTGCACATTATGATAGTCACAAAGAATAATCCTAATAAACTTCTTTATTTATATTTCATATTTTTATCTGCTCATCTCCCTCAGATGCAAAGATGCTATAAATGTAATAGCTTTAAAATATTGATGATATCGGATTAATATAAATTATTGTTATCCCTATTTTCTTTTTATTGCGAATGTATTAAGGACACGATATCATTGTGTCTATTCTAAGTGATCAAGTATGTGGGGCGGGTTCTTTGTTTTTTCTGCAGCGGGAAGTATGAATTCACATTTTTTTCAATATTTTTATATTTCTTGATAATTTTCAGTCCTTAATATATCCTAATGAACTAAGTTTTTTTGTTAGTTCACTAACTTTAGTTAAATTAGTTAAACTCTTAATTTCTTTAGAAATAACCATATTTTGACACATTTTCCATATTTTAAAACAGACTAGTTATTTCCATTCCAGAAAAGCACCCACTTTCTGCTGCTTCTTTTAGCAACTGGAACAATAATTTTAAGTGAATTTGAAAGAACAAACATTAGACAGGATTGTATTTGCAATAAATTTTGCCCAATGGCTCCTGCTCAAAAGATGTCAAATCCATTTAGCCTAAACTTTACTCTAAGAAAGCCAGCTTCTTATAAAGTATTCAAATTTGCATGGCTTGGATTCAGTCTTCACCAGTTTGCATAATTTCTGAGCTGAGTATTTGGCTGGAAAGTTTCTTTAGTTCCTTTTCTAGTAGTGCTTGGTGGCTAACACTTCTGTTTGCACTGGTATCATTTCACTGAAGTGGAAAACTAAAGAGCATAGCTTTTCACTGGAGGATTCCATTCTTCTCAGAAGAAAGCAACGGATGTAAAACTAATGTCAGAGCTTCCATACTTGGACTGCAAAAACAGAAGCACTAAACAGGCAACCAGATATAGAAGGCATTAATGCTCTACTGCCATCCAGTGGCTATCCAAAGTTGTCCAAGCTTGGTGGTCCTAGTTATAATCTTGATCTGACTGATGAGATAGAGATATAAGTTATCAAATTCTGGCAAGCATATGGCTATCAATTTCCATTGACATCTTCGTATTCTGATGGTACATACATTTGATGAATAGATGAAGACATGCATACGTAGCTGTAATTCCACTATTATAGTGACATTTCACAGAAGAATTCTGTCTAACTTTTATCATGCCTGATTCTGTTCCATTTGTGGAGAGTGACACTTGCTGTTTAAAATCAGCACTGCAACTGTGGGAGTCGGAATAAGACCTGAATTAATGCTGTGAAATGTTCTGGGGGTTAAGCATGTAACAGTCCGAATGACATGGGACAAATTACAGTAAGTATGGTTTTATAGCAACACCTGCCCTTTAGTGGAAATTAGGATGAGATTTTAAGAACAAATAATAATGTTCTTCTGCAGGCAAGATGCATGTGCTTATTGTCTGTCTGAGAATTTGAAAATGACACTCACTTAAATGACTGGCTATTTGTTCCATTTTTTTAAAAAAAATGCTCAAGGTGGAGAACTTCCTGGTTCAAAGGTTGGTAGCTTCATCTTTAGTAGCACACATGGAATTCTTTCCTCTAACAATTTGTTGCCATTCATCTCCCATCTTTAGTGGCCACTCAGCAATCCCAAAGGTGGCTGAGTGAATATCATTTCCTAAAAAGAAAGAAAGAAAAATATCCAAAGTGGCCCAGCTAGAGTGCATTCATTCAGTTATGTGTTTATTTATTACAAGTTCTTTTCTCCTGCTTCAACTGCTCAACTCTAAGCAGCATACAAACTAAAAATACAAGTCAACAATGGAACAACAGTGTTCGTATTAATGTTAATGGCAACAATCATGGTAATGCTACCATTGATTTCAGATAATATCCATTTCTGTTCAGTTTCACTAAGCTTTGTGGGGAAATTTTTTTAAATAACTTCCAGAATATGTGGAGTGAAGATGTGGAGCAGGTGTTTAAAAATTCCATAGGAGGAAGAACCAACCGTCAACATAATAGGATCAAGGCAGTGGTGAAATCTAAAATTTGTTACTACCAGTTCTGGGGGCGTGGCTTGGTGGTGAGGTAATGTGACTGGATGGGCGTGGCCAATTTTTTTTTTTAGTTTTAAAACCATTTTTTCTACAACCTCTTCGGTGAAGAGGTTATAAAAGAGGCATTTAAAAGAAAAAAAGCCTCTGCCGATCAGGCAACTCAGCTGGGATCATCAGAGGCTTTTAAAAGCATTTGATGATCCCAGCTGAGCCGCGCGATCATCAGAGGCTTTTTTTTTTTACTTTAAAAAGCATTTTTTCGGCCGAAGAGGTTGTAGAAAAAATGCTTTTAAAAATTAAAAAAAAAGCCTCTGCTGATTGTGCGGCTCAGCTGGGCATGGGGGTGGGGTGGCTAGGGATTTTTGCTACCGGTTCTCTGAACCACCCACCTCCATCGCTACCAGATCAGGCGATCCGGTCCAAACCGGGAGCATTTCACCCCTGGATCAAGGTTTTTTCCTCTTCTACAGTATTCTGCTGTGGGAGACACAAAATGGGTAAAAAGTTTGCAGACTAAAATGGGAAAGCCATCTACAATAGGGTTTTCCAAACTGCATTCCATGGACCACTAGGATTTTACTTACTTCTACCACTTTATTTCCAATGTTTTTCCATTCCTGTGGGGTTCCTTTCCAGGACTTGCTTAGTCATCATGTATTATCCTCATGAGGTAGACCAGACAAGAAACACGGCCAGATGAGCCAATTCTATTTGTTTATAAGATTACTTTTTTTTTAAAAAAAGAAGATGTATATGCCGCCCTTCTCCGGAGACTCAGGGCGGCTTACAATGCGTTAAGCAATAGCCTTCATACTTTTGTATATTTATACAAAGTCAGCTTAACTAAACATTTAACTAAATCCTCTTTTAACTGAGCCCTCCTCAGGTCCCTTTACAATCCGAGGGTCTCTTCTGAGTCTTGTGCCCCTTCCATATTCCTGCTTCAGGCTGTTGCCTTTTATCAGGCCATTCCCCTGGCCTTGTTTCTTTGCCCTCTCTGCAAAGGACATTCTCACATAGCATTACATCATGGAACTATTGTTGATCTTCCCGTCCCTCACTTCTGAAGTCTGTGACTGTAATTTGTATTCCCCTAAATTTCATTGGGGAAATTTTTGTTCTGGCTGAGAATTGAATTTGAAGTAGAGTATCTTTGATGGTAGATAATAAGTGCAAGGCAGTCACTTTTCTTCCCACTCTACATTGTGTCTTACATGAGTCATTTTTTTCTTGCTTAAACTTGGCCCATCCTGTCCCAACTTGGCTAACCCAAACTAGCCCAAACTGTTTTAGTTCCCAGCATATTTTATTTATTTGCTTAAGTTCTTATTCAATCTTTATTTGGTTTCATTGTTTGATATAATAACTGAATATGTTTTTGCATGGATTTCTGGGATGAAAAAAAATGGTGCAGCTGCTGAGAATGCAACCCAGATGATTTTAATACTTCCCTTCCATATGATATTTTTCACATTAAAAGTAATTGACACCAATGATTATTAAAAACAAACAAAGAAGTATGGGAATCTGTTTTTTTCCCAATAAAGAAAATGACAGAAAGTGGCCTTTCTTTTTCTTAAACTGAAGAATAACTTAAGAAAATATTATTAAACTCATCTTCCTCTTCAAACAGTGGGTGTCACACAATTTATCTGGATTGAATATGACCCTATCAGAGAATCTCTGAGCAGGCAGCATATGAATTACTGTAAAAAAAAAAAAAAAGTGGTGGGGGGGAGGAATGGTGTAACTTTCTCCCAGTAGTCAGCACTGCAGTCCCAATCCAATTTAAAGGCCTTGTTTCCCACAACGCAAGTATGAGACCCAGGAAGGAGGTAATCTAATTAAAAGAATTATTTTGTCATTTTTCATATCCCTAGGCTATGATGTCATCCACAGTGAGTGGGAATAGGCTACTGCTAATAAGCACCTTGATTACACTATAATGGTCATGAATTATCAAAATCAATTTTTATTTTGGACACTGCCCATATAAAAAATAAATCTGCTGAAGAATAACGATATAACCTGTGAACTGACATTAGTGACTCTTCTGATGAATCCCACTCTGTTGAATGTGATATCCCTGCAGATTTTGCAACTTTCAAATATGGCTGTTGGTCAAATGAAAATAACATAAAAGACATCAAGCTGTCCTTGATATTTTGTTAGAAATTAATTAAATACTCTAAATGAATAACTTTGTCATAGTTGCCATAAGTAGAATATGGGCTGTCGCTTTCAAGGCTCTTAGGGCAAGGGTCCCCAATGCCCAGGCCGTGGCCCACTATTGGGCCATGGTCGGTTTGGAAGTGGGCCACATGAGCAGCGGACCGACATGTGCACGCACACTCAGCTTGACTCACAAGTGATGGACCAGCACACATGCACAGCTTGACTTGCACAAGAGGCGGCCTGGTGTGCACACACATGCAATGGCCAACCGCTTGCATGAATAGTTCCCCTCTTCCCCCCCGCTGGGCTGCCAAGCCATAAAGGTTGGGGACTGCTGCCTTAGGGGATGTTAGCTACTAAGCCCATATTAATTAAATTCAGTTGTTTTCTCCGAGCAATGGGGGAATATATTTACTATTTAATTCTCATTTTACTTTAGAAAATAACATTTTGATTCTGCAGGTCAAAGTGGGTCATATGATTTTAATATTCTTTATTTCATAAATGAAAAACACATTCTATCACTGTTAACTTGCTATTTGTCCCCCACTCTCTACTCCAAGTGGAGATTAAACATGAAATATTATTGAATTGTTGAAGAACTCCACTTGGTGAGATGGGTGGCATATAAATTAAATAAATATCTGTTTAGATTTCTGCCCTACTTTAATGCATGTCAGGTGAAAGTTAATGGACATGGCAAATATGGTTAAAATGAATAACAATATGCCTTTTATGTTTGTAATATATTATAGGAGTTTGTTTTATTAATTATGAATTTAATTAATTTTGTCCACATTTTATTTTTTAACATTAGCTGCCATAAGTGCAATTGTTCTTTTTGATGGAAAAGCAGTCATATTAATACATATTAATAGCATACATATTAATTGAACAACAATCAACAAAGAATTAATAATTTACTTGTTTAAAAACTTATATGGCTGCCTATCTCGTATAATGACCTTAGGCAGCTCAAACAACTGATTAAAAACAAGAGGAAATATAAGTTTTAAATTATATAAATGAGTACATTAACATTGATGGCAGCATGACAATGATGGGAAGAAAAGAGGAGAGGAAGGTTAAAGTATAAAAAGCAAAGAACAGGAGGATGTGTTTGCAAGGATAGAAAGGTATAGGAAATTACAGTGAATGCACTGCTGTAAACTAAGGTTAGTTAGGTTTAAAACAGCTTCACTTTTGAAAAAAGCCACACAAGGCATGCAGTCATTGAAAACCTCCAGGGGATGTGAGTCATGGATGATCCAGGGCAAATATGATCCAGGGCGTGGCCCTGGCTCCCCATTAACAGTATAGTTTCAAGAACAAGTTTTGCGGTGGGCATGTAGGTCAGATGTTATCAGAGAAGCTGTCCTTGCTGAGCTTTGAGTATAGAGCTTTCCTGTGCATTTTTCTTTATGAGAAGGTGATATTAACCTGCTTATCCCTCTGTTGATCCCTCTGTAAAAATACTGAAGTTTGCAGATGATACAACAGTGATTGGTCTCATTCAAGACAACGATGAATCTGCATACAGACAGGAGGTTGAACAACTAGTCTTGTGGTGCAACCAGAACAATATTGAACTAAATGTACTCAAAACCGTAGAAATGGTGGTGGATTTTAGAAGAAAACCTCCTATACTACCACCTCTTACAATACTAGACAACACAGTATCAACAGTAGAGTCCTTCAAGTTTCTAGGTTCTATCATATCTCAAGACTTAAAATGGACACCTAACATCAAAAAAGTCATCAAAAAAGCACAACAAAGAATGTTCTTTCTGTGTCAACTCAGAAAGCTCAAACTGCCCAAAAAGCTGCTGATTCAGTTCTATAGAGGAATTATTGAATCTGTCATCTGTACCTCTATAACTGGTTTGGCTCTGCAACCAAACAAGACAGACACAGATTTCAACGGATAATCAGAACTGCAGAAAAAACAATTGCTACCAACCTGCTTCCATTGAGGATCTGTATACTTCACAAGTCAAAAGGGCTGTGAAAATATCTACAGACCCCTCACACCCTGGACATAAATTGTTTCAACTTCTATCCTCAAAACAATGCTACAGGGCACTGCACACCAGAACAACTAGACACAAGGATAGTTTTTCCCTGAATGCCATCACTCTCCTTAACACCTAATTCCCACAACACTGTCAAATAATTTACTAAGACTGTATTAATACTATTCTTCTCTTCCTTACTAGCATCTCTCTCTTCCCACTTATTACTATAACCATGTTTCTTGTATCTTTCAATTTATATTGTTTTTATTTGTTTCCTAGTACAATTTGTTAGTTTATTAGTAACCTTGACTATCACTAAGTGTTGTATCTTTTTATTCTCGATGAATGTATTTTTTTTGAGTATTTTCTGTTTTATTGCCCTCTCTTTTTTTTTTAATTTTATTAACATAAACAAACGTAAAACACAAATACATGTAAACATTTATACATTAACAAAGAGTCAATCGACTAACTTCTAGAAAACCTTCGCATCGGTGATTACTGTCCATTTAACCAATTTTCCTTAATCATACTATTTACAAATTTACTTGCTTATACCTTAATATCTTCATTGAAGTTCAGCAGTATCTTTCTACAA